AAATGATGAAAGAGAATTTTCACTTGAAATTCCTGTTGTTTTACCAATAGATGAAGGTCTATATCATGTTACTATTTCAAATGATAAAGGAGACATTACAGCTGCATTTACTTTACGTGTTGATCAATCATAAATATTCAATCAATCAAAACAAATAAACTGTTGGACTAACTTGAGGGTGGGTGTGGGTGTGTAACAGCTACCATAATCTAGATTTCATCTCGGCTAAGAGAATCATTAGATGGCTTAACTATTCTATAATGATTTCGAAAAATCACAAGAATTTATAGAATTTATTCTGTTCTAAAATTTTCAACAAATTCTAGATTGATAAATTCATTTTACAGTAGTGTGTAACAGCTACCATAATCTAGATTTCATCTCGGCTAAAAGAATCATCAGATGGCTTAACTATTCTATAATGATTTCGAAAAATCACAAGAATTTATAGAATTTATTCTGTTCTAAAATTTTCAACAAATTCTAGATTGATAAATTCATTTTAGAGTAGTGTGTAACAGCTACCATAAGGGTGTGGGTGGGTGTGAAGAGTTACCACAATACGTATAGTATTTCGAATTTACAAGAATTCTTATCAAGTGGCCAGTATCTCTATAGATGATTCAAAACTAAAGAAAATTTTGAACCAAATAGTAGATACTCTAAAATTTTTCAACCCAAAGGAAGAAAAATATAACACCTAAAGGGTGTGAAGAGTTACCACAATAGGTATAGTATTTCAATAATACTGTAAAAATATTATCAAGTGGCAGTGTATCTGTTTAGAATGATCTGAATTAAGAGAATTCAAATCAAAAACAAGATACAAAGTCGAAACTGGAAAGAGAATTTCGACAAACACCTTAGAAAGGGGTGTGTTACAGTTACCACGATACAAATTGTATTTCAATAATACTGTAAAAATATTATCAAGTGGCAGTGTATCTGTTATAAAAAATTGTAGAAGTGGAATGAAAAACGAAATACTAATGAATTGAAATTGAGAAATATTAAATTTAAATATCGAGAGGATTTGTAGAGTTAAAAGTATGAAAAATTTTTCCGTATATCGATTTGTCGGAAGTGTTATCATATGGTAAGTATTTGGATAAATGTTTCATAGCCAAGTAGAATGAAGTACAAGATACTAAGAATCTGCAAGAAATAGTAGTAGAAATAAACACTTTTAGTATGTGTAAAGCTACCTCTGTACGATGCGATTAATGTGATGATTGGTAGAACATGACACTGATTGATAAAGGAATGAAATTAAGGCGTGATGAATTTTCTTTGATTTTCAACTTTTTGATCGTCATCGGAGGTGATCAGTTAAGATAATTCTTTTGAGTTGTTCGATGTAGATATGTACATAATAGTTGATATTATTCCGAGAAGTGTTTATTATTCGGATCAGAGTTTTAAATTTTCATATTCATTGTGTAGTAGACTAGTTCCAGATTTCGAACATGTTATTGATAGCAATTTTTTGCCTTGTGAATCTTTGTATATTGATAAATGAGAATAGCTATTCGTCGTAATTCTTAATGATTAATTCAACTAACTGTAGTCATGTGTTCAAGTGATTAATTTCTTGATCGTAAATGTCGCCAAATCTCTCTCCGTTTGTTATTTTATCAATTGAACGCAAGTGTTAGTATCCAATTGTTGACTTTGATGAGTTGACACTGACGAGTCATACTATAATATATAAAAATAAAAATGAAATGATAAATGTATGAATAGAACACATTGACATTTTCGTCATTACTTTGATTTTCATCGACTCATTATGATCAGTCATGATCAAAAATATATATGGTAATTAATCATCTAGAACAAAAGGACAAAAATGAATTGGACGAAGGAAATAACTAGCTATGTAATAAATGAGAAGTTATCGGAAGAGGATAATGGAGAATGGAGCAAAAAAAACGGGAAAGAAAAAACAAACAAAGTGTTATTTTGGACTTAAATGAAGTGGTGAGTCCGTAGTGTTAGTATTGGATGGTATTTGAGGTGAATCTAAATCGATCGTAATTGATGCAGGTGTAGAAATATCGATTGTTTTTGGTGTCGGCGTACATAGATCGATCGTACGAGATGTTGATGGTGATAGATCAACTGTTTCGACTAAGTTTCCTGCTGCTGTTGGGTGTGGGTGTGGGTAAATCAAATAGAAACAGATCAATCTATACCTCTCAGATACAAATCAATCTGCTAGTCTCAACTTTTGCTGTTCAGCAACCGATGAAGTCGTAATTAATTTGATAAATTGAATATTCGTGCTTTATGAAATAATAAAAAGATAATGCAGAGTTTAATTTCGCCGACGCGTTTCGTATTTTTTATTGAAATATTGAAACACTCATCAGGGCTCTGCATTACATTAAAAGCAAAAATCAAAAACTAATTTTAAAGATAAAAATTAAAAATTAAGAGGCACAACAAAATCAGAAAAAAATTAATGAAAATTAATGAGCACAATAAAAGATAAAAATTAAAAGACAGAATAAAATCAAAACAAAAGTTAATCAAACAATAAAACTAAAAGGCATGATATTATCAAGTATACCAATATCATTTATTTATCCATGAAGATATCATTCAATTGAAAGAATAATTATTGATCAATAAATTTTGCTTGATGAAATTAATTAATAAACACCAAATAAAAGAATATTTGATTGATCAATAAATTTTGTTTAATAAATTTTAATAGATTTTATTAATTATCATCACCTGGATAATACCACTTATTTGTATTTAAGGATACGGACAATATCGCTTACTTGTCTCTGAAGGTATGATAATATCACTTATTTGTCTATATATTAAATAACTCAACGTTTAGCTAACAGATAATTGCCAACGTGAAAGGTTTCATAGTATTTTTTAGATACTGGATAACTCGACGTTTAATTGATGGATAAATTCCGACATCGAATATTTCATAATGTGTTGTTCATCGAGTTGTACAATGACCAGCCGTAGCTGTTAAACGACCACTCTATATTACGCTGATTTTATCTGATAGTTGAGAAGAAAAAACATCTTGATTAAATATTGCTAAAAGTTTATTGGCTAATTCTTGTCGTTTTTCTTCAAGTTTAAATGTTGATGGAATAAAAATACTGAAACTAATGGTAAATAAGGATAACATCGTTCATTTATCTTTGAAGATATCATTCAATTCAAACTAAACGTCGACTTTAATAACTGGACGTTTAGTAGCGGACAAAACATTGGATCAACTTCAATTTCCATTAATAATTGATCACAAGTGATAAAATTTGAACAAATTTAAGAGCTCATACAAGAACTTCTATAGAAACACATATAACTAACAACTAATTATAATTGTTGTTGTCGATATATCAGTACGTGTACGTGATGGTAAACTCCTTAATAAACTTCAATAGTATCATTGTCTTCCATTTCCAATTGTCTAGTTTCAATAGTATCATTATATTCCATTTGCAATTGTTATTTAGTTTTCAAATAATTTTAAACATCGAATGTTGACTGAACCATATTAGGATATAAATTATCAGTGATTCAATTCTTTCAATAAATTCTGTTTGATAAAATATATAATTTCTTGTTGTAAGTTCAATATAAAATCCATTAATATGACTGCACCACAAATTTCAGCACTTACAACGCTTACACTAATTGATTGTTGTTGTCAATATATTAGTACGTGTACGTGATTGTGAACTTTTATATATATATGTGAGGTATGTATGCCAAACAAGCTAAAAGGCCATCATCGTTCACTAATATATGAGTATTTAATTAATTTAAATTATAAGAATTTAATTAATTTATAACCGAATAATATATATGTCATTTAAATAATATTTGTTAATCGTCTCTGTAAATTTTTAACATTACGGGTACCAAGTATAGGTCGAATTTCATTAATCGGAGATTCACCAAAATATTTATTCCATATTGTATGAAATTTCAAAGGAAATCCTTTCATACTTGAACAATAAGTAAAGTGAATAAACATAACTTTATCATAATCAATTTTTATAGGTTCTGTATAGGGTGAATCTAACACATTCTGACGATATTTATCATAATTAATAGCAGTCAATGGCTGATCAATATTGAATCTTAATAGAACATTATTAAACTGTTGTTCAATAATTTTATTCGGATATCTATTAAGTAATAAGGCTATTCTTAATTTCTCGCGTTCATCCAAATATGTTTGAAATGTAGAACAATACTTAATTGCTCGAAAGAGCATTGTAAATGGTATGTTCTTTTTCATATGTAATGGATGAATACTATTAAATGGCAATTAATATGGTTCATAGGATGGTTTTTGATAAACTGTGGTAAATAGAATACCATCTCGATTCTCCATATATAAATTAAGGAAAGTCGTAAATGAACCAAGATTTGCATTTAATTTAATGTTCTCGTCGAATTGATTCCAAAGTCCAATTTGTTTCATTAAATGTCGAACAGGCTAATTAATAACTATAAATAAATCATCAATATATCGAAGGTAGAGTCCACCGCTATTGTTGATTTGTTTGGCTATTCTTCTTTCAAAGAAAAACATATAACAATTAGCCATAGTCAAGGTTAACGGAGATCCCATAGCTCCACCTCGAATCTGATGATAAAATTG